GTTTCTAATTTACTTTCAATTTAGGGCTGGCTCAAAACTTGGCAAAAAAAAAAAAAAAAAGATAATCTCCCTGGAACATACTAGGTGCTCAATAAATATCTGTTAAATAAATTAGAGAATGGATAAATGAGTACATGAACAAAAGGATCATCTTACAGACGTCCCATTTGGGAGGGGGTGTGGGATATCAGTCCATGAACTTTCCAAGGGAGCCATGAGTAGGCTCAGGGAGTCTGCAACATCCATGCTCCCCTCTCCCAATAAAAAACAGTGTACAAGTGGGGCTGTACAGATACGTGCAGTTTTTATATTCTCTGTGGGGTCCATGACCCAGGAGAGATTAAGAACCATTTCCTTCAGACCTTCAAACATGCTGATGAATGAAGAACATAAACAGTACTAATCTGCTCCCCATGGCCAAGTTTCTGGCTTATAAGGAAGGGTCAGACTCTCAGGACAGGCTTGATGTCTACACAAGAGATTTCCACATCTCTGAGCCACACAGCAGAGTTTCATTTATCGCATCTCCAAGTGCACAATTAACTTCCCCAGGCAGCAGACTCTAATGAAGCAAACCGATTATGGATCCATTAGAGCCTTGCAGAGGGCCATTAATCCTCCCCACAGCCCGGCCAGTGAGGGAAGTGGGTTTCTCTCCTGAGGAAGTGACTGAGCCTGGAGACAGTCATTTGTTCCCTTCAGAGCACTTCAGCCTCCAGTGGTCTCACCTTCCCAGAGGCCTGGGGTGGGGACAGGGGAGGCTGCACGTGTCCATGTGGGATGTCACAACAGAGAAAGGGGAGTGATGAAGGGAAAGAGGCACATGGCTAGGCCTCCCACTGCTCTGTTCATCACCAAAGAGGACATTTGGTTTTGGAGGATCATGGAATTTCCTTCATTTCCATTAAATTCCAAAATTATTGAGATTGCAAGAAACACAGTGGGCTCTGAAAAGAATTCAAAATGTGGACATGTCTATTTAATCTGAAGAACCAAATTGTGTTCTCTTGCAATTAAAATAAAAGACATGGACCATGGAAACTGATAAACAGCTTACTGGGATGTGCTCAGACGCCCTGAAAGTCCATTAGAGTGAACGGGTACCAAACTTGACCTCCTTCCCCGCATCCAGCCTGCCAAAGTCTCTGCTAAGATGGTAGGACACATGCCCCAAGATAATTCCCTGGACATAGGCTGGATCAGGAACCTGTCCACACTTCCTGGACTGGCTTCTCTAGAGATGGGAGCTATTCGGAATGAGGGGTACGGTCAGTGGCCCTGGCCATCAGCAGTGTCCTCCGATGAAAATTAAACTGTTAGCACTCCCATCTTCTGGGGAGGTGGGTAGGAATTGGGATAAACTTTCTGGGAGGCATGATGAAAATACACATCAAAATGGTTATGCACACCCTTTGTATTAGATATCCATTGCTGTGTAACAAATCACCCCAAAACTTAGCCACTTAAAACAACAAACATGATCTCACAGCTCCTCTGGGTCAGGAGTTCAGCCACGGCATGGATGGGGGCTTCGCCTTGAGGCCTCTCACAGGCTGCAGTCAAGGTGTCAGCCAAGGCTGCAGTCTCATCTGAAGGCTCAACTGTGGGAGAACCCTCTTCCGAGCTCACTAACACAGCTTTTGGAAGGGTTCATTTCCTCACCAGACATTGGGCCAAGGGTCTCAGTTCCTCACTGACTGTTGGCCAGAGGCCTCCTTCAGTTCTTTGCTATGTGGGCCTCACCACAGGGCAGCTCATAACAGGGCAGCCTACTTTGCTCAAAGCAAACAAGTAAGAAACGTAAGCAAGATGGAAGTCATGGTCTTTTTGTACTTTAATCTTGAAAGTGAAATCCTACCAATTTCACTGTATTCTGTTCATTAGAGCAACTCAATAGGTCTTAGCCCACTCTCAAGGGGAGGGGATTACAGAAGCATAGGAATATCAGGAGGTGGGGATTACGGAGGGCCGATTACAGGCTGCTCATAAACCATGAACCCAATAACTCCACTTATTGGAAGTTACCCTAAGAGAAATAACCAGACAAGTATGAAAATGTACAGTCAACACTGCTGCTTAAAATAGCGTACAACTGGAATCCACCTGGGCTGCCTGATTCAATTACAAATCATTCATATGATGGAATCGATGACATAGAAGAAACTTCTGTCCATGAGAAAACATTCATGATATAATATTAAGTTAGAAAAGCAGAACCAAAAATCACATGCAATATGATTCCAATATTCCAATATATAGAGGAAAAATATTAAAAGAACTCTCTCCTTTTTAACAGTTTGGAGCGTCTCTATGCAACAGGACTATGCATGATTTTCATTTCCTGCCTTATACTTTTTTGTGCTTCCATAATTTTCTACAACAAATGTGCATTACTTTTATCATCAGAAAAGAATGCTTTCTTTGAGATCTACATCCCCTGAATGGTGACAGTGCTACGCTTTGCACCTCTGCTCATCTCCATGTACCTAAATGACAGGAGAAGAGATGAAAGACGGAGCAGGACGCAGCCCCCTGTGTGAACTGGGCAGCTAAACAGCAGCCCCAAGGCTGAGGGAGAGGAGACGGTCAGGCCTCGGGCCATTGATAGCCCATGTCGCACCATTGTGCACATCCGAGAAAGCGCCCATCTGGGAAAATGCAGCCCGTGAGCACACAGCTTGTTGAGCAGACATGCCTTGGGGTGATTTAGAAAAAGGTGCCCTCATCTCTGGATAGAGACAGCCCCGATCCAAGACGCACAGCGTGGCCAGCAGAGCTGGGCTGGATTTCAGCCCCACTCACCTCCTCAGTCACATACCCTTGTTCTTGTTCTGTGGGTCCTTACCCACTTCTGAGAGCTCTCCAGCTGGAAAGGCTCAGATGCTGAATGCGAGGGACAGGTAGGCAAAACCCCAGCTTCTGGGCATTGCAAGCTCACACACCACCTTCCCACCGCTCATCTTCCCACTCCTGCTCTGCCTCATGGGCAGGTGTTAGAAATGCCACCACTTCATAGCGACTGCCCCGAGGCCAAAGACCAAGGAAGGAGAGGACCAAGGCCTTCAAGACTGGTCTCTTGACTCCTGCTCCAGTGTTCTCTCCATTCTGAACTGGCCTCATTTTTGAGACCCTCCTGACTTCCCACATCCTGTGCCTCCCCATCCATCCACCAGCCATCTCAGGCTTCATGGCACAGCTGCATCTCTATCTGCAGGGCTTCTGGACTCCACCCCGGCCCCACCTTCCTCTCCTACTTCTCACCTCCTCCATCCAGAGGACAAGTCACCAGCCGTTCAGAGAGGGGGCCCGGCATTTCCTGGGTTCTTCCTCTGCTCCTGGTGCAGGTGAGGCCTCCACACGTGTTCCCTCAGGGTCATCCTCAGCGGGCATTATTTCCCCAGACCTGCCAGTGAGAAACCTGAGACTCGGTGAAGGCCAGGAGCTGTCGGAATCCATGTGGCCACTAAGGGAGGGACAGGGCTGGGACTGGAACCTCCTCTGTGTGAGTCCACGGTGCCTCTTCATGTTTGTTCACAGGGAGAAAAGGAAGAGAAAGACGGCTGTGTGTGAGAAAACCCACACATTTCCTTTTCTTTGTTAATAACATGTAATAATCCAAAAGCAAGCCTGGTGGGTGGAAAATCCCTGCTGGCTGTGTTTCCAGGGCCTGGGAGCATCGAGCGCCTGGCCGGACCCACAGGGCACGGCGCCTGAGGCCGGTCCGCCTCACCGGAGAGGAGCTGCCTCGCAGACCCCGCCAGGCCAGGTCCGCTGCCCTGGACTCTCAGGGACGGCAGATAGAAAGGTCACCTCAACAGAGGGTGGCTCTTGGGACACAGAGCAGCCTGGGTGTGACCGGGCCACTCGCCTGGCTGCTCTGGCCTTGCCCTGGTCATGGAAGAGCTTCCCCACCTGCTGGGCCACAGACCCAGCGGCCGAGGCGCCCAAGGCCGGCTGAAGAGAGGGCAGGGAGGCCGCAGGCAGGTTGGCACTAGGAGGGGCTCCACGCAGAACAGAGAGCCTCCCGTCTCAGGCAATGGAAAACACTAGCATGGAGAGGAGACTCAGCTACCACTAGTACAGCCTTAGAGATGACTTCCCCAAGGGTGCCGCCATCTTAACTTCCCAGCATGCACTGGGCTCCGGAAACGCCTGCTCAGGGCCGCCTGGTTTACGCGGGAAGGACAAAGAAGCTGGGAGAGGAGGAGAAAAAAGGGGATTTTTTTAACTACCTACCACGTGAGGTGTTTTTGTTTACCCTATCTTGTTTACCTGCCACAAGCTTGGGAAGCTGGCGTTACCGTTCTTCCCATTTTCTAGAAGAGGAAACTGCAACTCTGAGGCAGGAAGTGGCTTGCGGGGTCACAGGGCCGTAAGAACTGGGTTTAAATACAGGTCTCTAGGGGGCTTGCTCCCTTTTCCCTTCCCAACCCAGTCCGAAGGGAGGTTTCCGCATTCTTTCCCGGATGATTTGCTACCCTGTCCTCCCCTGCCCGTCGCAGCGCCCTGCAGGCCCCCTCCTGCTTCCTGTCTAGGGCCCACGGCAGAAGAGACCCACAGCAGCACCCGCTCCAGGGACTCAGCTTACAGGCTGCCAGGCTCAGGAGAAAGGCATCGGCAATTGCTTCGAGCCAAGCATTAATAACGCATTTGACAATTGAGGAAATGAGGCCGGAGCCAGTCAGGCTGTGCTGCTCCCGGTGAAGGACCAACCCCTGCAGCGTCCTGTGCTCTCAGCCTCGCAGTACCCAGCATGCCACACACACCTGGGATGGCCATTGGCTCTGACCCCTTGTGTGTTCTCAGGCCTTCGAGATTTTGAAAGGCAAGTTCAAGAACGTTTTTTAGGAGACTGTTGGCTGCCAATTGCAATGATTTTGTGTGTCCGAGGACTTGGTAAGGGCAGCTAAAGAGATGTGAAGCTTATATGATGAAATCTGACTTGCTAAAGGAATGCAAAACCCTTCCACGTGATTCACCCTTGCACGCCCGCTCTTGGCCAGCTGTGAAGGGCGCTATGGCAGCATCAGAGCTCGGTGACCTCCTCCCTTAATGTCACAGTGAAGCCAGCACTCTGCTCTCCAGGGAAAGCAGTGAGCCCTCCATGAGCCAGGTACCGGCTGGATTACAGCAGTGTTGCGGTACATCCCACAACAACTCTGTGATGTGGGAACTATTATTATTCCCTTTTTACAAAGGAAGAAACTGAGGCAGAGAGAGAGGCCAAGGAGGTAGGCAGGATTGCCCTGGCAGTCAGAGGCTATGAACTTGATGCCTGCACCACATGCCTCCCATGCCCTTAGAGCTGAGGAGCCTGAGGCTCATAAAGCCCCTGGCTTGCCCAACATCCCACAGCCAGCTGGATGCAGGACGTGTGTCCCCTCTGGATGAAGACCTAGGAGGACAAAAGGGAAAATGAGGGACACAAGGACACAGTATCCCATTTGTGGACTCTCGTTACACCCCTGTCAGAGGGTCAAAGGACACTGAGACTGCCACCAAAGGCCCCCCAGCTAAGCTCTGAGCTGGCACACATTGCTCCGTGGATAAGGTGGCAGTTTGCAAGGGAAAGATCCTATCAGCATCGACTTCACTGCAGGGAAGCGGAGGATGTTCAAAGCTGCCTGGACCCCTCCTTATCCCATCTCTTCATTTCACCCATGAGGGGCTGAGTCCCGGAGTGCCAGTGTCACACAGCTGGTTAGGACGTGGCCGCTCCTGTCCTCTAAAAAAGATGGCTGAGGCAGGGTGCTGGGATGGGCCCTGCTCCCTGCTCAACCAGTCAATGGCTGCGGGACCTCAGGGCAGCCTCTCCCTCGCTCTCTGCCTCCATTTCCCCATCTGTAAAATTGCGCAGCTTAGACTAGATCTTGCTGCAGCCTGTAGCTTCAGCATGCCACGATTCCCTTTCAGTCTAAAAGGTTGTTGGCTCTGAACCCAATTAGGATAAATCAATTTCAGACAATGCTCATCCCCTCAGGCTCCGTTCTCCCCCCTCCTCCTCCCATCTGCCTGTCATTGTCAAAGTAACCACATATTGAATTCTCAAGGAGAAGGCCATCAGATCAAGGAGGGGAAGTGGCAAAAACCAATCTTAACAAAATATATTTGAGCTCCAAATAAAATTTCATCCTCTTCCCACTGGCAGATTTTATCGTTTTTTATTTCAGTTCAGTGCAGCTGAGCATATGGACAGGAGCTCGCTGTTGCCGGAGATGGAGAATAACAGGCCCGGACACAGGGTGCCCCCAGGATGATGGAGCACCCTCCACATGCTGTCATGGCGGGCACAAGGGAGCCCCCTGTTCTGCTTTCTCCAAGCCCTCCATGATGCCTGAACAGCCCCCCGTGGAAGTGAGTCTCTTTGGAAATTACATTTCATAACAGTAACAACCACGGCAGCTCTCACCTCTCGAGCACTCACCTGGGCAGACACAGGGCTCTGCACTTCGCCTGCAGTGTCTCAGTTAACACTCTGCGGGGGGCCCTCTGGTTAGCTGCATTGTACAGATGAACAAACCAAGGCTCAGCAAGGATGGGTAACTTGCCAGGACCACAGAGCCAGTTGAGAGCAGACCACACTCTGCACTCCCCAGCCCTGGGACTCAGGAGACCCTCGGGCATTTCATCTCTAAAACGTAAGGGGTCATATCTGTTCTTGGGAGACCAGGATAATTTTTTTAAAGATAATGGATAATAACAGCTAATATTTATTGTGCTCATTCTATGCACCAAGCCCTGTACTGGGAGCTTTATTTGCACCAACTCATTTAATCCCCACAACAGCCCTATGAGGAGGGAGTACCGTCCTAATCCCCATTGTAAAGATGAGGAAACTGAGGCACAGAGAGACTGAATAACCTGCCCAAAGTCACACAGTAACTAGCAAGTAGCAGAGTTGACTACAGGTCTGGAATCTGCCCTAACCACCATGCTACAATGGTGCCTCTCAGTGGAGATTGCATGACACAGGACTCCCATGGACAGAAGTGACAGAGACCCAAACAGGCAAGCTCAAGCATAAAAGGAAATACCTTGGTTCATGAAATGGAAAAGTTCAGGCACAGCTGGCTCCAGGTGCTCAACCGATGTGTGGCATCCACCTCCTTCATCTCTCACTCTGCTTTCTCCTAGGCAGGCTCTGTTCTAAGCAGACTCTCTCCAACAGGTGACAAAGACGGTCCCAGGACTTCAGGCTTAGGCTCTACCCATCTGGCAACCACCACAGAGCAAGTGACTCCTTCCAGCAAAACTTCCAAGGTTGGGTCTCACTGGTTGAGCTTGAGCCACATCCCCATTCCTGAGCCAGTCTCTATGATTCAAGGGGGGCCTACAATTGAGAGTGGGGGGCTTCCCCAAAGGAAAATTGAGGGGCTATTCCCAAAGGATGGATAATAGCTGCTGGGCTGGCGGAAACATCAGCCATGCCTCCGACATGGAAGTACTTAGAATTCTGCCAGACAGGGTCAGACAGGGTCATTATTACTGTAGGAGACCACAGTGTGCATGGCATTTGGACAAACCCAGGCTGAGAGACCTGCTTCCACAGAGGGGTTGGCAAGACGTCACAGTTTGGTCCAACATCACCATACACTTCCTTGGTCTCAGAAGGAGCGAGAAAGGAGCGTGGGTCTGCGACCCTGGGGTCTGCATTCCTCCCCTCGTTCTGGCATTCCCTGGCCATGTGGCCTTGGGAAAGTGACCTAACCATACTCAGACTTGATTTTCTCATCTGGAAAATGGGAACCAGAAAACCTCTCTTGTAGGGTTGCTGTCAGGATTGAAAGAGAAGAGGATCCAGGTGCCTGGAACCATCCTGGCACACATCAGGGGCTCAAAGGATGATTTTTAAAAGCCCACCTGCCAGCAGGCGCCTGCACTCCTGAAAAGCCCTTTGGGCATCTGAACTGAGGACCAGAGGACCTTCAGGAAAGCAATTCCCCTTTGCCTTAGCTGTTGGCGGACTTTACAAAAAGAAGTTAAATAAAGCCAATGCTGTGACTCTCTTAGCTCTTTTCCAAGCCCCTTGACTCAGCAGTGGTGAAAACATGAGGAGAACCAGTCCCACCAAGCCAATCAATGGCAAAGACTAGCTCCGAGGTCCCCAGGGCCCAGTGCTCCGGCATTGAGGCTGCTGCCCTAAGAGGTCGGGAGACAGGAGAAGAGCAGGAAAGAGAAAGCTGCTCGCCCACTGCCACGACCAGTGGAAGCGCTCGTCCAGCTCTGCAGTCAGTGCTCTGTCTTGCTTGGCTGGGAGTTCCCAGGAGCAGGGGAAGCACTTTGTCACTATGAAATGCCACAAAAGTGGTTCTCAAAGAGGGCATCACAGGACCCGCAGCCCTTGGGGAACTAACAGGTGTGCAGTGCATTCTGGGTGATTTGAATTCTGGAGAAAATCTGGCATCAAAATGTTAGGAAAGCCTCCTGTGGTGCAAAATTTAAAATAATGCAAATCTCCCTTTTCACATGTTCAAAATGTGTCAAGAATTGCATAACTGCAAACGAACGAGGTGTCAGTGGAGCTTTCTGTGCTGCCCATGTCAGCACCACCACAGCTAGTGAATAATCGTACCCTGCCCTTTATCCATGCTGCGAGAAATAGGTCTTGAATTATTCACTTTGTGCACAATACAGTAGCTTAAAGAATGGATCCTGTGCATGAAACAACCACCCTGACTTGAGAACAAGTGGCTGTGCTCAGACATGCTCCCTGCACATCACTGGCACTCCATACCTTATTGGGGGGTGGGCAGAGGGGAGAGGAGTGGTGGGGAGGGAAGAAGGGAGATGATGGTTTAAATCAGGGGTCAGCTCATAGGCTGAATCCTTCCAGCACTGCTGCCCACCTGGGGCCTCAGCCCTGCTTCTCCCGGCCCTGGGGCACTGAGCTGTCGAAGACCAGCAAGAGGACACAGCTGCTCCTTCCTCCGGCCTCAGACCTCAAGCACATCCGGCCACTCACTGCCACGCACGCCACCCCCTGCTGCAACCGCTGCCAGTGTCCAGCCATCTATGGCCCAGCTCCGGGCCGGGACAGCATTGCAGGAGTGCCAACTTGCATTGGACAAGGGATCAGGAAACCCCCTTCTCTGCCCTGGAGGGCTCATCAGCCGAGCTGAGAGGAATCATGGAAGGACAGGAGAAGGGCTGTGAAAGAGGGGAAATCCAAGAAGCCTTCCTGGAGATGTGGCCCCTGAGATGGGCCCACCCACAGGGCATTGACCAGGGTGACTGCAAAGGCAGAAGGCATTTCAGAGTGAGAGTAGCCTGGCCAGCATCAGGGAGCAGGCAAGCGCAGAGTGTCTTCAAGGAGCCTTGTAGTCCATGTCTGCTTAAGAGCAGCCTTTTGCGCTCTGAGAGAGCCTCAGTGGAGCAGCCTGGCTGGGGCCGAGTGGCAGCTAGGGGTCCTGAATGGCAAGAGAAGAACCTCCTGGCAACGAGGCTGTTGGAAACTCCAAGATGGGCAGCAGTGTGATCCGGACCGGCGCTCACATGAAACCTCACTGTTCAACCCACAGGTGCAGAGAGTGTAAATGAATGTGACAGCCTAACGGTGTCAGCTGCTGTTTGTGCACACAGTGTGCCAGCCATGTGCAAAACACTGTATGGGCACGATTTCATTTTATCCTCACAAAACCCTTATGAGATGGGGACGACAATTAACCCTGCTTTCCTAAAGAAGATGAGGTTCAGAGAGGTTAAGAAACTTACCCAAGGCCACTCAGCCAGCAAGTGGCAGGGACAGGGGTTTGAATCCAGGCCCTTGACTACTCTTTCTTAACCTCTTCCTGTGGCAGAAAGAAGATACCCAGCACATGGGCTGTAAACTGTTCTCTAATGCCGAATCATTTCCTCCAGATGGCCTCCACCACACTGTGTTAGAGCACCGGGTAGGCCCAGCTGTCCCTGGCTGTGGTGGTCTTCCCAGCAGTGCTCCTCAGCAGGGCTGGGCCTCCAGGGAGGCACCAGTGTCAGCCTGTCTCAGTCCCCGTGGCCTGGCCCAGAGCCTAGCTCATAGTAGGCATTCAGCAAATAACTGTGGGCTGAACAAATGGTTGCACTGCTGTTTGTAAGTGACTGAAACACAGCCCACGGCGGCCAGCTTTCCTCTTTAATCCCTGTTAAAAGGCAAAGTGAAGCTCTCCGAATATCTGCATGATCATGAGCGATCTTGAAGGTGAAACACGTTCCCCCAGATTACCCACCGTGTCTGGTTTCAAAGGACTTATATTCTTGTAGACTTTGGCTTCAAGATGGAACATGTCAAATTCTGACAGTCAGAACGAGAGCAGCTCCTGAGATGTTCAAAAAAGGCAGCAGCCAGCCCGTGACAGCCCTCCCAGCCCCCCAGGGAAGAGGCGGGGTAGGAGAAGCGGAGTCTTCATCTGGGTCGGCAGAAATGAGTGGTGGCATCAGCTGCTCGGGCTGCCCCATGACCCACTCATTCTTTCCCCTAACCCAGGAACTGATGCCATAAATCTCAGGATTACTGATGGCTCCACTCCTCCAGGTATGGGCTTCTTGCCCGGGGACTAAACATCTTATTCAAGATGATCTAACTACGTTTGTTGAGAAACAGACAGACAGAAACAGAAAAAGAAGAACAGAGGGCACACGCCACAAATTGAAGGTTGTCCCTGGAGCATGGGCTCATGCGTGATGTTGGTTTCAGAAAGCAAAAGATCAGGTGTGGCCAGCGACTTGCAGCTGCCCCCCCTGAATGGGGCCATTCAGTCCAGCTGTGGTGGCGTGGGCGGGGACAGGAAGGTGGTTGAGAAACAGGGATGAGAAAGTTTGCTGGGGCCCCGGCCTTCAGGGCCTGGGAGAGGCCTGGAGGGTGGAGGTGGACAGGAGGCAAGGGAGGTGTCCCCTTGCTAATCTGGCAGGAAGTGGGCATCTGTGACCTGGCTGCCACCTCCCCTCGGTGCCCACCTGTGCCCACCACCCACTGCGCTGGTGGCACCTGCCTGTCTCCCCCTAGCCTGCAGGCACCTCTGGGCAGGAACTGTGTCTGAATCCTCTCTCTCTCCTATGCCTGTCCCAGAACCTGCACAGAGGAGCTACTCAGAGAAGGCTGATGAATGGAATAGTCATTGGTTTGGGAGTGGAAGGATCTGCCCTCAGAAGGCCCCTGGTACAAAGCCAGAAAACAGATATTTTGGTGAGGTTAAAGGTGGGCTCTATCATGAGATGTTTAAAAGCACACACTTCAGAGCAAGATGGCCTGGATTCAAGTTCTAGTTCCACCATTTCCTGGCTGTGTGACCTTGAGGAAGTCACTTAACCTCTCTGAACCTCAACTTCCTGATGTGTAAAATTGGAAAAATAATAAAACCCACTTCATAACGTTGTTGTGAGGATTAAATGAGTGAATATACAAAAAGTTCTCAGAAAGTACCATTTTTTGTGCATAGTTTATCATAAAGGCCACTGCCCCTCTCATTCTGTCATCTCTGCTAAAGTTTCCTCTGTTTCAAGAAAAAAAAAATGTACATATGGCTGAGGGTCCAATAATAGCTGGGTGAGGGAATTTGTTGTGGAGCATCTCAGGCGGTCAGAAAATTCAGTGGCGCGGCGGGAACTGGTGTGCCATGGGGGGCCCTCCATGGAGGACACTCCCCTCCACCTCCAGGGGAGTTCTTTGTCCTGGAGCTGATTCTCAGGCCCACGGAGACGGCCCATTTTGCCCTGCATCCTTGCAGCAAACGTTGATGCACGTGATGGCCGCGCCCGGCGCTGCCGTACACAGTGGCTGGGACCCGTCCCTGCCCCAGGGGCCACAGCCAGCTGGGCTCCGGGCGTTGAGACCAGTCGTCCACTCCGCCCTCTGAGGAGGCCCAGAAGGCCTGTGGGGCCCCGGGGGCTTCAAGGGGCTGCTGCGTATCCCCGGGGGCTGGAACGACACCCGGGACCTCAGAGGGCTGTAATTTCAGTCCGTTCTTATCTAATGGGGATGCCTCCTCTGCAAAGAGACTGCCGCCCGGTCCTAACATCTCTCCCAAACCCGGGGTTCTAATCAGCAGGTAAACGGGTGGTATCGTGTTTCTTTTAAAATACGTGTAACTAATGTTTCCTCCTCCCCCCTCCTCCGGCCCGTTCTGTTCTCCGGGGTTTGCTCCTCTCCCCGCTCCACAGCCAGGGCATATGGGCTGGTCCCATGTGATTCATCCTGGTTACCAACCTCCTCCTCGGGGCTTCCCGCATACCAGGCACTGAGCCAAGAGCCCTCCAATGTTGACTCCTCTGGTCCCCAGGACATCCTGGGAGAATGGGTGCCATCATCCCCCTAGTTTGGCAGATGAGGAAACTGAGGCATGGAGAAGTGAAGGGACTTGCCCAAGGCTAAGCTGACCCTTCTCTCCAACGGGGTCGGCCTACCGACCAGTGGTGACAAGGACGGAGTCGACCAAGCCATGGCCAGAAGGGTGGAGTCTATGTCCATCCGCGGAGCCCTTGGGAGAGGTCCCCTGGCTCCCACGCCTCCCTCTGTGATCTGGAGTCTCTCCTGCTTGATAAGTGCAGGGCCCAAACTCCCCAAGGGCTGGCCTGGAAAACGGGGCCCCACGCCCTGGACAGTGAGAGGTTCTGGGGGTTGAGGGGGAACAAGTAGCCAGAGAAGACCCCTCCCCTCCTCATGGTGCAGGCATTGATCAACACAAGTAGAGGATGTCTGGTGACATTTGCACTTCGGATAAACAGCTAGTAAATTTTTAACACGAGTACGTCACGTGCAGTATTTGGGGTATACTTATTCTAAGGAAGTGTCCATGGTTTATTTGAAATGCAGATCTAACTGGTGTCCTCTATTCTTTCCCGCAGCCCCAGCCCGCATCCCTGACTACTCCCCATAGTGCTGGTGGAAGGTCAGGCTGGGGTTTGGTGCCCGAATTCACACCCTTCCCACACGAGGTCCTGGTGACCGAAGGCGATCCGGTGGAGTGATGGGCAGGGGTGGAAGTTGTGGCTTTAGGAATAATATCATCAGACTGGAGAACGTGCCTGAATTTGGAACAGACTGACCTGGGCAGATGACAGCTCCCCTGTCCCTGGCTGTGTGGCCCAGCCAAGTCCATTAATGTCTGAGCCTCAGTTTCCTTTCCTGCGACTTGGGGCTAACAATAAACCTGCGCTCCCTGCTCCCAGAAGGGCTGGGAGGATCGACCCCTAGGTCCCGTGTGGAGGAGCTCCTGGAGAGGTGAAGGGCCACCCCGTCCTACTGCATTGTAATTTATCCACGTGATTTTAATAATAATAAATGAACAGGTGAACGCGTTGCATGACTCCAAGGCCCTCCAGCCGGAGCTTTCTCTACGAACCTAGTTTTCCGTGTATACACAGAGTTAATGCGAACTCTACCTTCTGGAGGTGGTGGAGAAAGACAAGTAGCCGTAACAAATTTGATTTAGGTGCCTAATTCCGTTTGAGATGACTTCAGCAATAAATAAACCACTCTCTTGGATTCTTTTAGATCAGCATGTTTCAGCAGCAAAGTGACATCTCAGAATTGGTGGTCCTCTCCATCTCACTCTCTTGGCCCAGGTGTGTCCACAGGGAAGGGACACCCAGGCCTGGCCCAATGCCAGGCTGCCGGCCTCTGCAAACACCAAGACTGTCTTTTGCCAACCATGTCCAGCTCGGGCTCAGCAGCGCAGTAAATCTTACTTGGCGTGAGGCCAGCTGAGGTTTTCGCCTTACTCAGCTCCTCTGTGGTCACGGGCGCCTGAGGAGGCTAGCGCGGGGTTGAGTATGTGAACCCATGGGAACTGTCCTGCAGGGTGTTCACGACAGACTGGGAGGCTCTGGGGGAGACGTTGGCCAGGGCAGGATCCCAGAGCTGGGCTGTGGACCAGGGCTCCTGCCCTTTGGCCTGGAACAGTTACCCAGGTGGATACTACCAGGTTCATGGGCCTCACTAAGCCCTGAAGTCAGACAGCCCAGAGCAGCCCCTTACTGATCGGGAGATGCTGGTGAGTTCCTGAGCCCCTCTGAACCTCCACTTCCTCCCCTGGGTGGCAGAGAGGATGGAGGTGTGCACCCCTAGGCTGTCATGAGGATGACCTCGTAGCACATCAGCCATGGTCATGTGAAGCGCTTAGCACAGGGCCTGGCCACTGTCAGTCAACGCCACAGATAGAGAGTTTCCTACCAGGAGTCAGGACACTCTGGGGGGCTCAGAGAAGCTACGCACGCACACACACTCACACACACTCACACCCAAAGACACACACACTCTAACACTCAGAATCAGACACGCATGCACACACATGTACACACACACCCCCACATACACAGATACACTGACATTCATAGACTCACACACACAGACACACTTACATACACAGACACATAAACTGATATACATGCATTGACACCCATACACACACACACACGTACACACACATGCACAAACACACACACACGACAGGCAAAGCAGGGCCTGTACACAGCTCATTGGATGTGGCCACTGAGCAGCTGCATCCAGCTCTGTGTTCACTGGTTCACATGGACACCTGCCCCTCCCTGACCCCGACTCCATCCCCAGTCACCACCCCAAGGTGAGCCCCAGCCATCAGGTGAGGGTTTTACCTTCCACAACACTTGGTAATAAAAACAAAGCTAAGCGATTTAATGGCTTGGTTTTTAGGCCTCCTGGTCGCCTGGAGAGGCTGGTCTGGTCCTGGGCCGGGGGCTCCTTCTCAGTCCCCACCTCCTCCCTCCCCCATCCCAGCTGTCTCTCCACCTCAAAAGCTTCCCCACAGCTCCATGGCTAGCCCTTAAACACAACCAGCAACCAGAGGCCCTCCAGCCCTGGAACTGGTCAGGCCCCAACCACTGGAAACCACAGGAACCAGGCGGACCACGGGCACCGGCAACAGGAGCAGCTGCTGCCTCACAAGCCCCTGCTGCCCTTAGACCCCTTCAGAGGTGACAGCCACAGCCCCCTTCCTGGGCTCCATCCCTTAAAGCTGCCCTGGGCCCACAGTGGTTGAGCGACAGCACAGCATGGGGGCCTGTTGTCCTAGCGGTTCTCAAAGCCCCAACAAGAAGAATCCCCTGTAAGTCACGCATGGGCTTCCAGGCCCTCCCTGGGCCTCTGATTCAGAGGCCCTGGCATGAGGATGGCTAGCAAACACACCAGGTGATTCTAATCACAGGGAGGGCCGGACCTGCACCGAGGGAAACCAGCACTTCCCAGGCCCTGGCAGCTCAGAGCCACCTGGAGAGCTTGTGACAACCCAGGTGGGGGCCCAGCATGTCTAAGCAGGCCCCAGAGATACTGAGGCTGCTGGGCAGGGACCGAACTTCAGTGGGGATTGCTGCAAGCTGTCAAGGGACGTGCAGAGTTCTTTGAAGACGACCAGAGGCGCGACCATCTGACCTGATGGTTTGAGGAGGGACAGGGACATTGGCCATCAGAGAGCTCCTCCACCCTCTGGATGCCTCCAGCCAGAGGCCTACAAGTCCCTCAGATCCAACAGGGCCAGAAGCACGGGGGCATCTCTCACTGCTCCTTCTTCCTCACCCCTGCCTCTGACTGGTCACCAAGTCACAGGGTGCACCCATTCCGCTAACTATTGCTGTGTGGCATAAAACAGCCATTTATTTCATTCATCGGTTGGATTCTGCAGGCCAGGAGTCCAGGCAGGGCATGGCGGGACAGCTTGTCTCTGCTCCACGGTCTCTTGGGCCTCAGCTGGGAAGACTTGAGACTGAAGTCTAGAATCTTCTGCAGGCATCTTCACTGGCATGAACGGCAGTTGATGCTCATGTCAGCTGGGACCTCAGCAGCATCTGTCCAACAGAACACAGCGTGTCCATGCGCCTCTTCCTGCAGCCTGGGCTCCCTCCCAGCATGGCGGCCTCGGGGTGGGCAGTTTTCTGAGTCGATGTTCAGGGCTCGAAGTTGTGTCTCAAGAGAACCAGGACCCAGCCTCAGAAGTTATGCACTGTCACTTCTGGTGCATTCTGGCACCTAGAAGTTCAGCCCAGCTTCAACGGGAAGGGACATGAATGCCACCTTTCCATGAGAAGAGGGTCATGAAATTTGCAAACCTGTTCCAAACCCACCCACCGTCTCAGGAGAGTCTCCAGAAGGTAGGCTCTCCTTCGCCCCCTGGCCTCTTCCATGGTCCCGGGCTTCCGGCTCTCCCATCTGGGCTTGTGGAGCAACTTCTTTGTTGCTCTCCTCACTCCAGCCCCGCCCTCCAGGCCATCCATCACCAGCAGGGATGTTCATATAGAAGCAGGTCCGGTCGCTCCCTCCTGGGACTCCTCTGGCAGAGCCAGGGCCACAGAGCCAGTTGTCTCACTTGCCGTACTCGTTTCTCCTGGCCTGCACAGCCTGCCTGC